TCACCATTACAAAAATCTTTGTTTACTTTTACTTATGATGAAATAATCCGGGCTAGAAGGAATATAACTAATCGCTATTCGCACTTGAACACTGTCTTTTGTGTTTATGTTCTAATACCTCTTTTTTCTCACAATAATTTAAATCATGCCCCCAATTTGATGTCATTTTGTTAATAAACTACACGTACATACAGTTTCAATGGTAGCACAGCATTGATCTTCACTTAGGTCCATGGCATAACTATAGCGTCTCTACTCATGCAGGAAAGGGCTAAATCACTTAATTTACCAACACATATTACAGTCGATGCTGGGAGAACACAGATTGCTCCAAGTGAGTTCATACTTTTCTCCGGCACATTTTAATGTAGTTAGCTCTCACTTCTTGTGATACTTCAATGCTTTAGCTGAAGAGGGAAATAAAATCAAACGTTTATTCCATTTTTGCCTTTTTGGTGTTTCTGTATTTATCCTTTTCGGGGTTGAATTTATGAAAAAAAAGGAAGTCTGAACTCTGGAATTTCCGTCGTCAACTAATGCATTTCCATCCTCTTTTCCAGATTCAAGGACAGTAATGGCAATTTTAGGTAAGATTCCTTTCTTTTGCCTATAACTATCTGACAAATATTAAAACATTCCACACAATTAAATTCTTTTTTCAGAAAACTTACTTTAATTCTCCTTTTATCTTTGACAGGGCCAGCTGACCTAGTCGATGATGTAACGGGTGGATTGAAGCTTTTATAATTGCATTGTCATTGGTCTCATAGAAGCTTAAGATTTATCAAAGTTTACACAAGTAGCTACAAACTAGAAAACACAAATATAGCTACTTTCTGGCTTGGTTTTGCAGCTTAAGATTTATCAATGTCTACACAAGTAGCTACAGACTAGAAAACAAAAATATAGCTCTACTTTCTGGTATGGTTTGCAGATGATGATGACGACAACGGTGAAAATAACTAGAACACCCATTTTTCGTGATAGATTGTGTTATCCCTTTTCTTTTCCTGCAGTTGTGTGATTTATTTTCCATTCAAAATCTTTGTTTTAATGATGATTACAATTCCAAGAATAAAAAAAAAAAAAAAAAGAATAATCCGACCTGCCGGATTCGAACCAGCGACCTAAGGATATGCTGCAAGTTTATATTACCAACTACAGTCCTCCGCTCTACCAACTGAGCTAAGGTCGGTCTTTGTTAAACATTTGGCTATTAAACATTAACACTATCATTCGAACTTCGATCATCTAAGATATAAATTCTTATTTTAACTTGTTCTACTCCAACTAAGCATTTCTTATGTTGATCATGGAATAGAATAACGAGAGTTTAATATGAAAATTAATGTATTTCTAAATAATACTCCTCAAATGATTGCTTTTTGATTTAAAATAATTACTAAATTATTATTATTAACTTGGGATAAACCACGTAGAAAAATCAAATGTAAAACTAGAAATATCGGAATGAAATTATGTAATTAAGGAGATAAATTATATTATAAAAAGGGGGATATAAATTATCACACACCGACATGTATGTTAGAATTGAATAAAGAAAAAAAAAATATAGGATGAATTCCAGAAATCTCCCTCCCCCTATGTATTAATCCAGAACGCGTTGAGCCTACGTGGCTGCTTCTGGTGCTTCGGAATCTTATGTGGCAAAATTACATGTTTCATTATTAGGCTTGTGCAAAATTTTTATCTATATATATATAAACAGATTTACCATTTTTTAAAAATGGCAACTAAAATTCAATCATATTCTCTCTCCTCATTAATTGTTTACTACTTATAGTAATATTTGTTGCCTTAATTCTCTTCCACGGTCAGCTTTAATTTAGGAAGAGTTGTTAAATCTTATCTATTTTTTTTCCCATGCGTTAATTAAGGAAAATTAAATCAGATTGATAAAGCAAGTAAATCAAATTGATAAGGCACGCGATATGATATCCGATTTTATTTAAAATTAAATCAAAGTGATAAGAATTTTGTTTAAAAATATTAATCATACAAATTGGTTTCACAATATTTTATCCACCATGAATTAAAATCCACACCCTATAAAAATAGCATACTAAACAGAAATTTACATCATACACGCATTTACAAATATACATTACCAACTATCAAAAACAACATCAATCGACAATGGAAAACCCCTTCGGTGTGATCAACGATATTCGAAGAAGCAAGAAATGTCCGCTAAAACTTCGTGTGGTTTCAATGCATGAGCGCCAGTATCCCAATCGTCAACACATATTGAACATTCTTTTTGAAGATAGGGAGGTATTATTCTATTTGATTTTTATTTTTTACTATTTCAACTACAAACACTATCATGTGGTTTAATATATAGATTTCGTATATTTGTAGGGGACACAAATCATGAGTGTGGCACGTGGAAATTTTATTTCGATGATGAAAGACTATCTAAAGGAAGACAATGTCTATTGCATCCGTGATTATGAATTGGAGAGTTGCTCTTCGGTGAATTTATGGAAACGACGACTCAATTCAGATTGATCTTGCATGGACGCACTCAAATCGTACAATCAACCACTTCATTCGAATGATCCGACTATTGATTCGGGAAATTTCTGGAAATGGCAATGCAAATATATATTTGATTATCATCAAAAATTGGGTTCTAAATACTCGGCTATGGAATCTGCTAAATTCTGCAAACGGCAAAGGATACGTGATTATCATCATGTTGCAATGATATGAAATACTACTGTTCATCTCCAATAAATATTTGCCTTTTTTTAGATTGCTAATATGTTATTTTATGGTTTTAGCACTAAAGTTGATGGAATAAACGAACTTATTTGATTTTGTTAATATTTTTGTTGTTGTTTCCGGTGTATTTTTTCATCTCTCTTTATTAATTATCACAATCACAATTAATTATATTGACATACATGTATACATTGCGTATACCTATAAATAAAAAATACAAAAAAAAAAAAATCGATATTAAATTTATGACCAAAATATTTACTTTAAATATTAAATTTTATATTAGACATTTAAATTGGTTGAATAAACAATTGTTATTCGACTTATTTCATGATTTTGTTGTTCATCCATGTTTGCTATCCACTTATTGTAAAAAACAAAACTATTAAATCACACGTATAAAAAATATATTGTTGCGAGTATTTTGACCATATTCAATATAAATTTACTTTTTAATTTTACAATTATAATGAGCAAACTGGATTAATAATTTTATTGAAAATAAATATGTAGGGTTTTAAAATTATAATTGAGCAAACTGGATTAATCAATTTTATTTTTCATTTGCAGGAAAAATAAACGTTTTTTTAATTTGTTAATAATAAATAAATATAAAGCACTTTTTTTTAAAAAAAAAAAATATTGTTATTTAGTCCTTATCTTTTAACTTGCCAAAAAATCTATTATGTTTATCCAACTTTAATTCCATGTGCTTGATCTTTTGTTAAGATTAGTCAAATTACAACACATTATTTATGTTTATCGATTTGTTACAACTGACAAGTTTAGATTATCATAATTTTAAGTTATCTCAATTTTTATAACACGTGGTATTAATAGTTATCTACATGACATAAAACTCTTTTTAAATTATAACTATTTTTTACAATTATAAGTGAGCAAACTGGATTAATAATTTATTGAAAATAAACATGTAGGGTTTTAAAATTGTAATTGAGCAAATTGGATTAATCAATTTTATTTTTCATTTGCAGGAAAAATAAACGTTTTTTAATTTGTTACTAATAAATAAATATAAAGCACTTTAAAAAAAAATTGTTATTTAGTCCTTATCTTTTCACTTGCCATAAAATCTATTATGTTTATCCAACTTTAATTCCATGTGCTTGATGTTTTGTTAAGATGAGTCAAATTACAACACATTATTTATGTTTATCGATTTGTTACAACTGATAAGTTTATATTATCATAATTTTTAAGTTATCTCAATTTTCATTGGGCATCTGCGGAGTCGCTTAGGCGTATGTTTGTGTCATTATTGGTTTCCGGTTCTATGAGTAGACCAGATGACGTATGGTAACGTTGCTGGATATTGTTATCTGATGACATTTTATACAGACAACGAAGATTGTTCAATAACAATGGTAAAGATTTTTAATATATCTTTTCATTTTTTTATTAATTTTTTTTTTCATTTTAAATTTTTTTATATTTTAATTAAAAACACTCCAGATTTGCGGCTCAGTGAAGATGCTATCAAGAATCTGGCTCTTGCTGAGATTGAGACTATGTTGCGAATTCGCGGTGCAAGTCTTCGTGATTATTCATCCATGTCTTTTCCAGACAGAGATAGTATGCATAACACTTCAAACTGCCTTATATTGGATGAGCTTAGTTACGATCGAAATGCAATGGCTGTGGAGCACGAATCTCTTCTTGGGAGAATGACCGATGAACAGAAAGGAGTTTATTCAAGAATTATGTCTGCTGTTGATTCAGGTGTCGGTGGAGTATTTTTTGTATACGGTTATGGTGGTACTGGGAAAACATACTTGTGGAGGACTTTGTCTGCGGCGTTACAGTCGAAGGGTAAGATTGTTCTATGCGTGGGATCGAGCGGAATTGCAGCGCTATTATTGTCGGGTGGAAGAACTGCACATTCTCGATTTCGAATATCGATTAGTATTCATGAAAATTCGTCGTGTGATATCAATCAGGCAAGTCCTCTTGCGGAACTGATAATTCGTTGCTCTCTAATCATATGGGACGAGGCGCCGATGATGCACAAAAATTGCTTTGAAGCAGTTCAAACATTATTGCATGTTGTAATGGGCGCAGTTGACCCTTTGAATAGTAGCAAGCCCTTCTGAGGCAAGCCGGTTGTCTTTGGTGGAGACTTCAGACAGATACTTCCAGTCATTCCAAAAGGGAGCCGTCAGGACATTGTCAATGCAACAATTAATGCATCCAGCATTTGGACGGACTATACTGTGCTCCGGCTTACGAAAAACATGCGTCTTCAGAGCATTTCTGATTCGGAGGAGCGTGACGAGGTGGCTGCATTTGCCGATTGGATTGCGAGTATCGGAGATGGTATTATAGGAGGATCAAATGATGGTTGTGCCGCCATTGAAATTCCAGACGATATAAGATTGGATCCCTCAGATGATCCGATTGCTACGATTGTAGAAAGTACCTATCCAATGTTCAAGAACGCAACTGACGATCCCAGTTATTTGAAGGATAGGGCAATATTAGCTCCCACGTTGGAGATTGTTGAGTCCATCAACCAATACATGTCCGACTTGAATTCTTCTGAAGGTCGTACGTATTTGAGCTCTGACAGTACTTGTAAGTCGGATTCCGGAAATGATTTCTTGGCAGATCTCCACACGCCAGAATTCTTGAATAGCATCAAGTGTTCTGGTTGTCCCAACCATGAGTTGCACCTGAAGATAGGAACTCCAGTAATGTTGTTACGCAATATGGACCATTCTATGGGACTGTGCAATGGTACTCGATTGGTTGTGACTAAACTCTCTACTCATGTTCTCGAATGCAAGATATTGACAGGAGATCACGCTGGCGAGAAGGTCTTGATTCCTAGGATGAATATCGTTTCATCCGATACTAGGATTCCATTTAAGTTCCAGCGGCGTCAGTTCCCACTTATGGTTTCGTATGCCATGACCATAAATAAGAGTCAGGGACAGTCTTTATCGCACGTCGGTCTTTTGCTGAAGAAACCTGTCTTTAGTCACAACCAATTATATGTTGTTGTTTCACGTGTAACTAATAGAAGGGGGTTGAAAATAGTAGTTTGTGATAATGAGGAGTTAGCAAATAATCAAACTCATAATGTTGTGTACAAGGAGGTTTTTAATAATATATGATTGTGAAGTCACGAACATTTTTATGATTCAATAACATTCCTATGTATTTTAATGATTTCGAACACGATCCTAATGCACGTCAAATTATATTATTCTTCAAAATTATACAGCCCGTGCATCGCACGGGTTACGTACTAGTTTAATTCCAAACCAAAAATATAATTAGGTTTCGGATTACCATAAATATGTTGATTATTTATGGTCATGTTACATGTATTAATTGCATTTTAATATCATTCATTATTATAACTATTGAATTGTATATATATTTTAAAAGTTAATAACTTTTGTATTTTTTATCAGTTTTACATATGTAATATATCAAATTAATCTTCTTTTGTTGAGCTTCGATTTAACATCCATATTGTATGTATAAAAAAATAATTTATATTTATCTTTATAACAATAATAAAATTATTTTTAATATTAATTTTAATAAAATAAATTTATTTATCAACTAATATATTTATATTTCAAGTAGTTATATGATATAAGTTATAAAAACTAATCCTCCCTATATATAATTCCAGAATGCGCTGAGCCTACGTGGCTGCTTCTGGTGCTTCGTAATCTTACTTGGCGAAGAATTATGTTTCGTAATTAGGTTTTGGACAAATAATATTGATATATTAATAAATAATAATTTAGGTTTGGACATTCCATAAATATTATTTAGCTAACTTAGATATTTTAATATCAATTGTACTAATATAACCCTTTAATTCTTTGTATTTTACATAGTGAGACACTAAGTGACTAATGTATCCCTGACTTTTGATTTGTTTCCTTCAATTAGCCATTGAATTGTAAATGTACTTTAAAAGTTGATAACTTTTGTATTTCTTATCAGTTTTACATATATAATATATCAAATTAATCATCTTTTGATTATCTTCGATTTGACATCCATATTGTATATATGAAATAAATAAATTATATTTATCTTTATAATAATAAAAAATAATAATAATTATTAAAATTCATTAGAAAAATAAAATTATTTCTCAATTGATATATTTATGTCTAATATAGTTATTTGTTGTAAGTTAAAAAAATTATTGCAGTATAACACATGTAAGTCGCACAAATAAAAAATGTCATACTAACTATATAATAATATATATATTTTTATAAAAGGTATTTACATTTTTCAACTATTTTTCTCATTAATTTTATATTTTAAGAAAAAAAATTAGCACACACTCGTGTAATACACGGGCGTTGTACTAGTATAATATAACACATGTAAGTCATAAGTAACACATATCATTCTAAAATATATAGTAATATATTTTTTTGGTAAAAAAATAAACTAATTTTATTATTCCAAACTAGTTTTTTCATGTGCGCAAGGGATTAGGCCTCCACAACACAACCACATATAAGAACGCATATACATAAGTTCATTATTCCATCTCCCCTATCACAACTCACAGAATCAATCCCTTTGGAGACGAGCGCTTCTTCTTATCACCCGTGCTTTCCTCCGGAGTCCCCGATGTCTGAATCTCGGCATAACCTTCTGACACATGTTTTCCAGGCTGGCCTTCAGCCACTTTCTCCATCGTCTTCTGGCTAACCTCACCAGCAGCCTTAGTAACCCTGCTGAAAGCCCCGGTAACCCATGAAGCTCCGGTTAAAACATATCGGGTTTTTCATAATGGCTGAGCCAGCTGTGCTCATGGTCTGCTCGGCTGCTGCAAAGGCCGATTTCGTATTTTCAGAGACTTGGAACTTCTGGTCAACCTCCTTAACCTTGTCATTGACAATGGCAGCCCCAGTGGTTATGTTTATGGTTATGTTTGGCAAGCATATAAACTAGTTTATAGATTATTTGATTAGCATATAAGCTTCATATATTCAAATAAGGTTGGTTTGTTTTTCTTTTTTTTTTTTTTTAAAGCTCGAGCTTATCTTGTAAGCTTCCTTGTGTAGCTTTTCAAAAAAGTGTATTGAAATTTTATTTTAACTAGCTTATCAGCTAATTTTACCAAACACATATAAGTTGAATTTTTAACCATAAGTCATAAGCAATCAGCTTTACAACAACAACAACAACAACAACGAGTGAGGTTCGATCCCAAAACCAATTGGTTGAAAGAGGACTAGCCCATTAGACTTATAAGGTGAGTCTATTTTTCATGTATGAACGATGTGGGACAAGTTAAAAGTGATATTCTAACAGTAGCTAAGTCTACAGTTATAATATGTTTTAATTATTGTGGGCTTATAACTTATAACCAATATGTTATAAATATTTTAATTTACGATTTTGCTATTGAGTCATCGAATGACTCGGCTTATGGAGCCTTCCATTATTATTTACAAATGATGTATTAACACATGTCTTGCAATAAATGCACATTGGACAAGTGTCAATACGTAAAGTTATAAATGACTCCACAAGGGAGTCATCCGACTCCATAGAATTTTTGTTTTAATCACAGTAGGTCACACTTACTAGTTGATTAGTTGATACTAAATAGGAAACTGATGGGAATAAAACTAAGAAATTGGTACAATAAGTTCATATTTCAAATAAAT